GTGGCCAGCAGGGGGTGGACTTTCAGGAAAGAGGTGTGGCCAGGGAGGTGAAGTAAGTGCAAGGAAAGAGGCGTGGCCAGTGGGAGGCGCCATAGGAGTAGAGGAGGCAGGAAAGAGGCGTGGCCAGCAGGGGGTTCCAGGGGGTTGAGTTTCAGGAAAGAGGCGTGGCCAGCAGGGGGTGGACTTTCAGGAAAGAGGTGTGGCCAGGGAGGTGAAGTAAGTGCAAGGAAAGAGGTGTGGCCAGCAGGGGGTGGACTTTCAGGAAAGAGGTGTGGCCAGGGAGGTGAAGTAAGTGCAAGGAAAGAGGCGTGGCCAGCAGGGGGTGGAGTGTCAGGAAAGAGGCGTGGCCAGGGGAGTGAAGTTAGTGCCAGGAAAGAGGCGTGGCCAGCCAGTAGGGAGCACCATGGCAGTGGGTCATGCACAGGAAAGAGACATGGCCAACAGAGGGTGCCAGGGGTTTCAGGAAAAAGGGATGGCCAGCAGGGGGCACCAGCAGGTGGGAGGTTGCAGGAAAGATGCATGGCCAGTAGGGGGCACCATGGCAGTGGGGCATGCACAGGAAAGAGGGACGGCCAGCAGGGAGCACGAGGGGATCAGAGCAGGTAGCAGAAAGGAGTGTGGCCAGCAGGGGGCGCCAGGATCTGCAGAAGCCGCAGGAAAGAGGCACGGCCAGGAGGGGGCGCCAGGGGATTGGAGCAGGTGGTAGGAATGGGGTGTGGCCGGCCGGCTGCCCATCCCGCTCACCTCCAGGCAGAAGTTCACGACTTCAGAGAGATGCTGGACCACGATGGCGACTTCCGTCTCCAGGAGTTCGTCAAAAACCTCCATCGCTTCGCTTGCGTGGACCTGGAGGATGGACGGGGTGGGAGGGTGGGGCAAGTTAGAAAAGAGAAAGGGGGGGGGAGACAAGACATTAACTTTTGAGCATTAGATCAGGAGTAGGGAACGATGGTCCTTTAATGACTTGTGGACTTCAACTCCCAGAATTCCCCAGCCAGGTACGGCTAAAAGCAAGCCTTTTACACCAGGGGTCTTCAAACTCGGCCCTTTGATGATTTGTGGACTTCAACTCCCAGAATTCCTCAGCCAGGCACGGAGCTGAAGTCCACAAGTCATCAAAGGGCCGAGTTTGAAGACCCCCGCTTTACACACACACACACACACACACACACACACACAAAGACCGCACCTCGTTCACGTGAATGAGTTCCCGGATGGCTGCTATCACCTTGGGCACCATGGAAGACATCAGAGTCTGGAAGGAGGAGATTGGAGATCCACTTAAAAATTAAATGCACGGTAGTGCAATGCTTCTCAAACTCGGTCCCTTTTCAAAACAGCTGGACTTCAACTCCCAGAATTCCCCAGCCAGCCCTGGAGGCGGCTATTCAATCTTCCAGAGTTCACCTGGATTCAAAGGGGTTTTGATTTTAAGCTCATCGTTTTCCCAATCGGTAAATTAAAAGCATAGGATCCATCGGTCAAAGTCGATCCGCCAGAAATCCAGTTTCAAAAAAGGATCCTTTTCCCAAACACAGGGCATTGGGTAGTCCAGAGGGGGGGGAGAGAGAGGGGGGGGGAAATGAGTGGCTCTCTAGACCAGCAGCCACTGCCAATCCGGGAGCATTGGGAGGGCCGCAGATTTTAACTTGGATCTGGTGGCAGAGAGTTCCGCAGACCCTTTGAGTTACTTTCTACCAGCAACAGTGCGGCTTCGGCCTCAATTAACAGGAGGAGGAGGAGGAGAAGGGGGCAGGTGGGACGAAAGAGGAAGAGGATGGTGCACCCACCACTTCGTCAGAGCTCAGCCCTCCTACCACGGCAGTCAAGCTCCGGAGGGAGTAGTAAAGGACGGACGGCTGACTCCGGTTGTTGAGCGTCTGATGGAAGAGGCGCAGGAGATCTTTGTAGTAGGGAGAGAACTGGTCTGGGTCCAGATCCAGAGCCGACTGCAGCAGCAGCAACGCCATCTGTGACCACAAGGAGGTTGAGAGACAAAGTGGTCTAGCTAGAACCCAGGCAATGCCGAGTTCTAGTCCTGCCTTAGGCATGAAAGCCGGCTGGGTGACTTTGGGCTAATCCCTTTCTCTCAACGTAACCCATTTCACAGGGCTGTTGTGGGGAAAATAGGAGGATGAAAGGAGTATAATTAGGTATGTTCCCCAACTCGAACTAAAAATAATGAAGGTAGGAAAAGATAAAAGATAGATAGATAGATAGATAGATAGATAGATAGATAGATAGATAGATAGATAGATAGATAGATAGATAGATAGATAGATAGATAGATAGATAGATAGATAGATAGATAGATGATACAGTAGATAGGCAGGCAGGCAGACAGACAGGATGGATGGACAGACGGAATGGATAGATGGATGGATGGAAGCAGGATAGATAGATAGATAGATAGATAGATAGATAGATAGATAGATAGATAGATAGATAGATAGATAGACAGACAGAATGAACACAATGGATGTATGTATGTAATGGATGAATGGAAACAGATTAGATAGATAGATAGATAGATAGATAGATAGATAGATAGATAGATAGATAGATAAGCAGGTAGGCAGGCAGGTAGGATGGATGGATGGATGTAATGGATGGATGGATGGACGGACAGACAGAATGGATGGATGGATATAATGGATGAATGGAAACAGATTAGACAGACAGATAGATAGATAAGCAGGGAGGCAGGCAGGCAGACGATGGATGGATGGATATAATGGATGGATGGATAGACAGACAGACAGACAGACAGACAGAATGGATGGATGTAACGGATGGATGGAAACAGATTAGATAGATAGATAGATAGATAGATAGATAGATAGATAGATAGATAGATAGATAGATAGATAGATAGATAGATAGATAGATAGATAGATACTAGATAGGCAGGCAGGCAGACAGAATGGATGGACAGACGGAATGGATAGATGGATGGATGCAGGATAGATAGATAGATAGATAGATAGATAGATAGATAGATAGATAGATAGATAGATAGATAGATAGATAGATAGACTGACTGACAGGTAGAGGCAGGTAGGTAAGTAGGTAGGCAGGTAGAGAGATAGGTAGACAGAGGCGTGGGACTGATGGGGGGGTTCACAAGGGACCCCCCCCGACGCCTCCCTCCCTCGCTTTGCACCCCCTGCCCAGTCTCCACCCACCTGGCACCTGCTGGGGTCTCGGGAGCGGGCCCCGTGCTGAATGCTCTGAAGCATCTGGGGCCACTTCTCCAAGGTCTCGTTCTTCAAGATGACGGCCGCCAGCTGGGCTAAGCCCAGGGAGACTTTATGGCTGGAAAAGAGGGTTTATCTTTGGGGGGGGGGGGAAGGCAGAGAGGCTAAACTGACCCCTCAGTGCCTCCCCAGCAGGAATAACTCACTCTGTCTGCTGTTGCAAGCTGTTTAGCACCAGGGTTTTGAGCCTGAAACAGACGAGATTTGGGGGGAAGATTTGAGTTTTGGAATGAAAATACACAATCCTGGCTTAGCGAGCGAGCCACGTTGTTGAACACCCCGCAGATTTTGTGAACCGGGTCTCTCCGATTCCAATGTTTTAACCCCGTTATAATGGTCCATGGGGAGGACTGGATCGGGAGTCCACAAAAATGCCAAATCCAGTCTCTGTGTCTGTGNGAGATTTGGGGGGAAGATTTGAGTTTTGGAATGAAAATACACAATCCTGGCTTAGCGAGCGAGCCACGTTGTTGAACACCCCGCAGATTTTGTGAACCGGGTCTCTCCGATTCCAATGTTTTAACCCCGTTATAATGGTCCATGGGGAGGACTGGATCGGGAGTCCACAAAAATGCCAAATCCAGTCTCTGTGTCTGTGCGACGCACCGCACGTTAATTACGATAGTCATGATAACGGATTAATAGATTTGCCTTCCCGGGACTTACATCTCTTGATCCGCTGCGGCAATTTTCTTCCAGTGCTTGCTCAGCCGCCGTCTCAGCAACACGGCGGCAAACTGCTGGATCTGGGAACGAAGGAAGAGAGAAAACGGGAAGGCTGCTGAAGGAAAGGATCCAAAGAGCAGATCCTGAGAAATAAAAGCATAGCGGCTTTGGGCAGGGGGAAAGCCACACCGCCTACACCTGAACGTAGGAAGGGTAGCGCTCAAGCAGAACAGAGTCTTATTCTTTGTATTAAAAATGGAGAGTGATTAATATTTATATGTATACTAGCTGTACCCGGCCACACGTTGCTGTGGCTCAGTCTGGTTAAATGGAAAAGAAGTGTGTTGCTTTTATGTCCAACAGATGGCGCTGTTTTTCAAAAAAGCATGTTTTTACCTGTCACAGGTGTGACATCTATATAATAGTAGGTATATAAAAACACGCGCGTATTCGAATGCAACGTTGTGTCAAAATTTCAAAGCAATTGGTGAAGAACTTTTGGAGATTTCAGATTTTGAACAAACGAACATTTACATTTTTATTTATATAGAAAGATACATGTATTGGGGGGGTGTCTGTGTGTATCTGTCTCTAATTACGTTAAAAATTTGAATCCTGGGTGATGCCATGTAGTAAAAACAAATAAATACGAACACCAGGATAATATCAAACTAGGATTTGTTTAACAAAATGCTGAGCTTTCGTCAGCCAGCACTGCCAACATCATCAGAGCATAAAAACAAGTCAATGGGAGTTCCCTTTTTATAACGCCGGCCGATTTTGCGCACGGCTCCTGGACCTAGTCATTGGTCCATCTGATATCTCTGATTGTTTCATTCTTGGAAGGCACGTAATCGTTGTCCCCTTGATGGTTGTTAAAGCCGCAGTTCCCTTATCCGGGAGCCGTGTGCAAAATCAGCCGGCGTTATAAAAAGGGAACTCCCATTGACTTGTTTTTATGCTCTGATGATGTTGGCAGTGCTGGCTGATGAAAGCTCAGCATTTTATTAAACAAATCCTAGTTTGATATTACCCTGGTGTTCGTATTTATTTGTTTTTACTATATATTCGGGTCTTTTCCCAGTGTAAGATTGAGAGTATCTTGGCGACGTTTTGACGAGGTCCCACTCGTCATCTTCAGGCTGGGGTCTTCGGCTTCGTGCTTGTGCGAGCAAAGTGTGATCGGAGCTGCCGTCTCTCTATAAATATTGGTGGGGGTGTGTGGAGTGCTGGCTTAGTTGCTGTAGGTGGGTTGGTTGGCTGTGTGGGAGTTATTGTTTGCGGATTGTTCGGCTGTTTCGTAACATCCTGAGTAGCTGAGGTGCTGGCTGTGTGCCCAGTCCCAGTCCCCCTTTAATTTTTTGTTAGTATATCTACATCCATCCATGTATATAGCTAGATTTTTAGGGGTGCGCCTCGCCCCAAAACTTGGCCTTAGTTTTGGAGTAGGGCTTATATTAGGTTCACCCCCAAAAAATCAAGCTAGGGCTTACTATCAGGCTGGGTCTAACTTTGGAGGAAACACCGTAGCATGTGTATATGTGTGTGATATATGTGTGTGTATACTTTCTTTTGAGAGCAGACAACAGAATTTCATTTTTAACGTGGGCCAGTGTGCTCGTAGTAGAATATGACAATAAAAGTTATCTTAAGATAAGATAATCTTTATTGTCATTTTTTACTGTGGGCACACTGGCCCACATTACAAATGAAATTCTGTTGCCTGCTCTCAAAAAGTGTACACATATATAACCCAGGTATAAACATCTTATCTTATAAACATCTTATCGATTCTCCCTTCTCATTGTTTGCAACCACCTATATCTACAACTAAGCTTATGTTTGAGCTCCTTCTCACCTGAAAGAGTGCGTTGTGACTTACCTGAGGGTCTTGTGAATGTGTCATGACATGGCAGAGGTGGGAAAGAGCTGCCGGTTGCTTTAGTAATTCTTTCAGCTGCGCTGTTGCCTGGAAGGATGAAAGAACAGGCAGCAAAGTGTTAAACCTGCTCCAAAAGTCCCTTTTTTGAAGGATTTGCCCCCAAAGCTTCTCTAGAGGAAGGAATGTTTCAAACCACATAGACTAGAGACAATAAATCAGTATAGATCAGGGGTCTTCAAACTTGGCCCTTTGATGATTCGTGAACTTCAACTCCCAGAATTCCTCAGCCAGCATGCAGGAACTACGACCCTTTTATGACTTGTGGACTTCAACTCCCAGAATTCCTCAGCCCAGCGTGAGGGAACTAGGACCCTTTGATGACTTGTGGACTTCAACTCCCAGAATTCCTCAGCCAGCGTGAGGGAACTAGGACCCTTTGATGACTTGTGGACTTCAACTCCCAGAATTCCTCAGCCAGCGTGAGGGAACTAGGACCCTTTGATGACTTGTGGACTTCAACTCCCAGAATTCCTCAGCCCAGCGTGCCTGGCTGAGGAATTCTGGGAGCTGAAGTCCACAAGTCATAAAAGGGCCAAGTTTGAAGACCCCTGATATAGACAGACATCGACTGAAGTTACAAAGACAGTGAAAAAGAGACTTATGGCTGTTTTTCACACTAACGACCGTAGCACCATCCCCGTGGTCATATGATCAAAATTCAGAGGCTTAGAAACTGGCATGTACTTATGACGGTCGCAGCGTCTCCGGTTCCTGTGAACCTTCCCAGCCAGCTTCAATTGAGGAAGCTAGATTCGCTTAACGCCCCCATTTATTTACTTATCAATTGCAGCAATTCACTTAACAGGGCAAAAAAAAGTCGTAAAATGGGCAGAAACGAACGTTAACAACCGCCTTGCTTGGCAACAGAAATTCTGAGCATGACTGCGGGTTGTAACTTGAGGACTACCTGTAAATTAGATTTTTTTTTCAGGGCCATAAATTTGAGCCAGAAAAGAACAGGAGAGAATCCATTTCTGTTTGGTGGGCAGTTTCCTTCCACAGTGGGAAGAAAAATAAACCTGTAGCCCTAACAACTCGATGAAAACCTGGTGTTGAGTTGCTTAAAACCCAAGATGACATACTAAAAAAAACGGCGCTGATGTTGTTTTAATCTTTTATCTTGTTGCTTTTATATATTTTTAGTACACATTTTATATCAGAATAGAATAGAATATAGAATGGAATGGAACAGAATAAGAATGGAATAAGAATAGAATGGAATAGGGCAGGAAGGGACCTTGGAGGCCATCTAGTCCAACCCCCTGCCCAGGCAGGAAACTCTATATACCATTTCTATATACCATATATAGATTCTATATACCGGAAGTTTTTTCAGACAGACCGGTCTGATTGAGAACACCTGGACATTTTTAACTGCTATACTGCAGGTTTTTTTTTTACTTTTTACAATATCTTTTACCATGCAGCCCCCCAACTAGGGGCATTAAGCAGGCTCAAGTCGCAACTGTGAAACATTTTTAAATCCAAATTTCTTTTTCTGACAAAGAGTTAAAGAATTAAATCGGGAGACTAAGATGGCCATTTCTAGCTTGTTAAGCTTTCATCAGTTAGCCCAGTGGTTCTCAACCTTTTTAATGCCGCGACCCCAACCGGTCGTAAGTCGAGGACTAAACCGGTCGTAAGTCGAGGACTACCCAACCAGTCGTAAGTCGAGGACTTTCCCTCTCCGGGAGCGCCGCGCATGCATGGTTCCGCCCCCTGCGTCGGCCGAGGCGTAGCTGGCAAGCGGCAGAGACGGAGCAGGCCGACCANTAGCCCAATGGTTCTCAACCTGTGGGTCGGGACCCCATTTGGGGTCGATCGACCATTTCACGGGGGTCGCCAAGCAAGGCTGTCCGCCATTTTTTTTGTCCGCCATTTTTTCCCCTTTTCCGGCAGGTGCCTTACCTCCCTTGGGCTGGGCCAGCTGGTGGTCGGCCTGCTCTGTCTCTGCCGCTTGCCAGCTACGCCTCAGCCGGCGCAGGGGGTGGAACCACGCATGCGCGGCGCTCCCGGGCAGGGAAAGTCCTCGACTTACGACCGGTTGGGTAGTCCTCGACTTACGACCGGTTTAGTCCTCGACTTACAACTGGTTTAATCCTCGACTTACGACCGGTTGGGGTCGCAGCATTAAAAAGGTTGAGAACCACTGAGTTAGCCATACCCTTTATAGGATTCGAACCTGGGCAGTTTACATACTAGGCATATATAGAATCAAGATCACGTGAAGTGTTAATACCACTTTACAAGGCCTTGGTAAGGCCACACTTGGAATACGGCATCCAGTTTTGGTCACCACAATGTAAAAAAGATGCTGAGACTCTAGAAAGAGTGCAGAGAAGAGCAACCAAGATGATCAGGGGACTGGAGGCTAAAACATACGAGGAACGGCTGCTGGAATTGGGGATGTCTAGTTTAATGAAGAGAAGGATGAGGGGGGGACATGATAGCAGCCTTCCAGTATCTCAAGGGCTGCCCTAAAGAAGAGGGAGTCAAGCTATTCTCCAAAGCGCCTGAAGGCAGGACAAGAAGCAACGGGTGGAAACTAACCAAGGAGAGAAGCAACCTAGAACTAAGGAGAAACTTCCTGACAGTTAGAACAATTAACCAGCGGAACCACCTGCCTCCAGAAGCGGTGAATGCTCCAACACTGGAAGTTTTTAAGAGGAGACTGGATAGCCATTTGTCCGAAATGGTGTAGGGTTTCCTGCCTGAGCAGGGGGTTGGACTAGATGACCTCCAAGGTCCCTTCCAACTTTATTATTATTATTATTATTATTATTATTATTATTATTATTATTATTACTACATTATTATTACATTATAATAATAATATTATTATTATTATTATTATTATTATTATTATTATTATTATTATTTCAGACAAGTGGCTGTCCAGTCTCTTCTCAAACACGTCTGAATGTCGACCAGGTGGCCATGGCGAATGATTGCAATGGTCCTAAGTGTGAATAACGGTCATAAAGTCCCTTTTTCCCCACTTGGGTCCCTAAGTGAACTGTTGGCAAGTCGAGGACTGCCCTGTACGCCCACTCCCCCCTCCCCAAAGCCAACCGCCCCCACACACAAAGCCCCTCTATCCCCTTCCTCCCCCCCCCTCCCCACCTGCCCGCCGCTCTACCTGTTGGATGACGGCGTTGTCAGGCTGCAGCAAGAGCGCCAGGATCTGCTCCAGCTCCGGCTGGGCTGCCATGGGGCTGCGGGAGGCGGCAGGCGGGGGAAGCGAAGGAAGGCCGGGCCGGGGGGCATGGAAAGGGGAGGGAGAGGGGGCGGAGGAGGCCCCACAGTCCCCGGGAAGGGGGCGAGGAAGGCGGAGGACGTCCCAGGCGGAGCGCGGCCAGCAGCGGTTGCCCAGCCTCCAAAACGCCCAGCACGTGTGGAGCAGACAAATCGCAGCTTCCGGGGTGGGCTGGAAGGGGAACCGGAAGGGCGCGGCTCCAGCGCCGTTCAGGTGCGGAGGACTTACTGCAACCGCCCAATTTCTCCCTCCCCCCGGGAAGGGAGGTCGGTCAGGGAGGCATCTTCCCCGTGAGAGAGGGCTTTTTCTTTCTTTCTTTCCTTCCATCCTTCCTTTTTCTTTTTCTTTCTCTTTCCTTCCTTCCTTTTCCTTCCATCCTTTCTTTCTTTTTCTTTCTCCTTCCTTTTCCTTCCATCCTTTCTCCTTTTCCTTCTTTCTTTCTTTCCTTCCTTTCCTTTTCCTTCCTTCCTTTTTCTTTCTCCTTCCTTCCTTTTCCTTTCATCCTTTCTTTCTCTTTTCTCCTTTTCTTTCCTTCTTTTCCTTCCTTCTTTCTTTCTTTCCTTCCTTTTCTTTTTTCTCTTTCTTTTCTTCCTCTTCCTTCCTTCCTTCCATCCATTCTTTCTTCCTTTTTATTTCTTTCTTCTTCCTTCCTTCCTTCCTTTTCCTTCCATCCTTTCTTTCTCCTTTTCCTTCTTTCTTTCCTTCCTTCCTTTCCTTTTCCTTCCTTCCTTTTTCTTTTTCTTTCTCCTTCCTTCCTTTTCCTTTCATCCTTTCTTTCTCTTTTCTCCTTTTCTTTCCTTCTTTTCCTTCCTTCTTTCTTTCTTTCCTTCCTTTTCTTTTTTCTTTCTTTTCTTCCTCTTCCTTCCTTTTCCTTCCTTCCTTCCTTCCATCCTTTCTTTCTCCTTTTCCTTCTTTCCTTCCTTCCTTCCTCCCTCCCTCTTCTCTGTGGTTGGAGGTTGAGCACCTACCCAACCCACCCGGCCAGCTGGGAAGGGAGTCCAGTCAGAGAAAGCACTCTGCACATGTTCAGAGGCATTGGCGTCTCTGTTAGATAGGGGCATAAATCTGTTTCTTTCCTCTTTTATGGGGTTGGAGGATGAGCCCAACAACAACTCACTAGAACCACCCAACCCATCAAGCCAAGCTCTCTGGGAAGGGAGGCCAGGCAAGGAAAGCGCTCGGCCCATGCTCAGAGGCATCTGCTTCTCCCTTAGAGAAGATAGGGCTCTCCAGCTGTGCCTTTTCTCTTTGGCTGGGTGGAGGGACGAGGCCAATTTTATTTTATCCAAAGATCCAAAGCATGCAATTTTTTTTGCAATCTGGGTGATCGCAGTGGACGTTTCATTTGCGCCGTCGTGCAATCGCCCGGCTGCAAATTTGCAAAATTTTGTTTTTGCCCGTGTTGGGAGAGGGCTCAGATATGTCTTCGTTTTCCTCCTGTGGGCCTTTTCTTTGGATGAGGGAGGGACCCAGGTAGACTGCGACTGGGCGTGGAAGCTCTACCGAGCTTTAAATCAGGCGCCCCTCTTTATGAGTTGCGGTTCGTCGCAACTGTTGGCAGGGAGTTTGCAACCGCGAAGACTTCGGTTTCGTAAAGGGGCTTTGCGTGTCTGTTGAGGGGAGACAAAGGGGTGATCGGTTTTTTAAAATTATTATTATTTTTTAATGATCAATTATTATTAATTAACAACGCCAGTGATTCCCTTAACAAGAGTGGCAAGAAATGATGTAAAATGGGCCAAAACTCACTTTAACAACCGTCTCGCTTAGCGACAGAAACGTTGGGCTCAATTGTGGTTGTTGAGGATTCCCCGTATAAGCGCCATCGCCCTTGGCGACTTTAAAGACGGGTGGACTTCAACTCCCAGCATTCCCCCTGTTCAAAAGGCAGGAGACGGAACAGAGCAACGTAGAGAAAAAGCCAGAATTTGCGATGAGAGGGTGTGTTTTTTTTGAGTTTTTCCATTTCCTTTTTATTAATAAAATTTAACTTCAAGATCTGTAAAAAGAAACGCGGAACCGAGACGTCAAATTAAAAAATAATCCAACTTCAACCCTTGCTAATATACATAATTCCTTATATATACTTTTTTCCCCCTTAATATAATATATATTTTCTTCGCCCAGGTGCAGAGAGAGACGGGAGGGGTTTTTTTCTCTCTCTCTCTCTCTCACCTGTACTGGGAGAGAGTGCCAGACACCTTGTGACTAATTGTACAAAGGAGGTGACGAAGAGGAAGAAAAACATCTTGGTGAACCAGGGTGAAAGATCCGTTTGACGGAGGACAAATGATCTCATTTCATTACCAGGTGATTTAACGTTCAACAGCAGAAATCCATTAAGTGTTTTTCACACTTGGGAGCTGTGAGATGTATGGAACTTCAACTCCCAGGCTGGGGAATTCTGGGAATTGCAAGTCCCACAGATCTTACAGCTCCCAAGTTTGAAAAACATTGCACTTCAAATCCTTTGCGCAGATCCCTGAAGACAATTATCCGATTACTTCTACCAGTCTCACCTAAAAGTGACTCCTAAAAGTTGCATGAAATTAAAATCTGCTTGGATGCAGCCCCCACACACACCAAATTTCACGGAATCTCCCATTTTCCTCCGACAGGAGAAAGCACAGTTTTTATTTCTCTTCGCCAAAACGGTGCCTGGTGGAAGGAAATCCCCGTTGCTCTCCAACCACGATTCCCATCAGCCTAACAGTACGAAACTCAGAATATTCTGGACCGTAGCAGCCTGGGAAAGCACCCCTAACTGTCCCAACCAAGTCAAATTCTCCTGAATTCTGAACTTCAAACGCGTCTCTTGGCTATCAGGACCTAGTTTGATCTGGGTGAGATCAGCCGGTTGATCCATCTCTCTCTAGGCTAGGTCAGGTTTGAAAGTGCCTGATGATGGCTGGCTGGGATCTCTTCCTAAAACTGAACAAGAACTCTGGAGAAAAAAAAGGGGAAACGAGATGAAAATGTTTTTTGAGATCTGGGGAGAGAGGGAATGCATTAGAAGAAAGGGAGGTGTGTTGAACCGAACGTAGGTTTTTACCCTCTTGATTATATAGAGACCATAGGGGGAAATAATAAAATATCTAGACATGTATATTGAAACCAAATTTAGCTTCTACCTATTGATCAGATAAGCAGCAGGGAAAAAAAATGATAAAATCTCTAGGAATATGTGTGTTGAGCTAAGTGTAGCCTTTCTCCATTGAACCAATCAGATAGTCAGCAAGGGAAAAAATGATAAAAATATCTATGTGTGTTGAACTAAATGTAGCTTTTATCCATTGAACTGATCAGATAGTCAGCAAGGGGGAAAATGATAAAATATCTAAGAATATGTGTGTTGAACTAAACGTAGTTTTTATCCATTGAATTGATCAGATAGTCAGCAAGGGAAAAAAATGATAAAATATCTAAGTGTTGAACTAAATGTAGCTTTTATCCATTGAACTGATCAGATAGTCAGCAAGGGGAAAAATGATAAAATATCGAGGAATATGTGTGTTGAGCTAAATGTAGCTTTTATCCATTGAACTGATCAGATAGTCAGCAAGGGAAAAATGATAAAATATCTAAGAATATGTGTGTTGAGCTAAATATAGCTTTTATCCATTGAATGATCAAATAGTCAGCAAGGGGGGAAATGATAAAATATCTAGGAATATGTGTGTTGAACTAAATGTACCTTTTATCCATTGAACTGATCAGATAGTCAGCAGGGGGAAAAACGATAAAATATCTAAGAATATGTTGTGTTGAACTAAATGTAGCTTTTATCCATTGAACTGATCAGATAGTCAGCAATGAAAAAATGATAAAATATTTAAGAATATGTATGTTGAACTAAATGTAGCTTTTATCCATTGAACCGATCAGATAGTCAGCAAGGGGAAAAATGATAAAATATCTAGGAATATTTGTGTTGAACTAAATGTAGCTTTTATCCATTGAACTGATCAGATAGTCAGCAAGGGAAAAAGCACAAAATATCTAGGAATATGTGTGTTGAACTAAATGTGGCTTTTATCCATTGAACTGATCAGATAGTCAGCAAAGGAAAAATGATAAAATATCTAGGAATATGTGTGTTGAACTAAATGTAGCTTTTATCCATTGAATTGATCAGAGTCAGCAAGGGAAAAAACGATAAAATATCTAAGAATATGTTGTGTTGAACTAAACGTAGTTTTTATCCATTGAATTGATCAGATAGTCAGCAAGGGAAAAAATGATAAAATATCTAAGAATATGTGTGTTGAACTAAATGTAGCCTTTATCCATTGAGCTGATCAGATAGTCAGCAAGGGAAAAAATTATAAAATATCTAAGAATATGTGTGTTGAACTAAATGTAGCTTCTATCCCTTGGACTGATAATAAAGTCAACAGGGAAAAAAATAGTAAAATATCTAGAAATGTGTATTGAACGAAATGTAGCTTCTATCTGATAATCAACAGGGGGGGGGGGGAATGATAAAATATCTAGGAATATGTGTCTTGAGCCAGTTGTTGCTTCTACCCATTGAACTGATACAGCCAACAGGAGAAAAATAATAAAATATCCAGAAGTGTGGAGCTTCTATCTGATAATCAACTGAGGGAATAAAATAATTAAACGTCTAGGTCAGGGGTAGGCCATCTTGGCTCTTTTATGACTCGTGGACTTCAACTCCCAGAATTCCTGAGCCAGCCATGCTGAGGAGAAATGGAGAAGTTTCCATGCTGAGCCATGTTGGCTCAGGAATTCTGGGAGTTGAAGTCCACCAGTCATAAAAGAGCCAAGGTGGCCTACCCCTGGCCTAGGTATATGTGTGTTGAACTAAAACCGGGGGGGGGGGGAAGAGAAATATCTCGAAATGTTCTCGTTCCTACCAGCGGCCAGGAGGGAAAATCGGCAATTCATTTCAGTGCAAGGAAGGTGGTTTTTAACTTTAAAAAGGGGGAAGGGAGGATCCAGTAGCAGAGGATATTTGATTGGCTAGAGGACGTGTCGGAGGGTCGCTGAGTGGCTACCTGTCCTGACCAGCAGGAGAGAACGTAAGGCTGCTCCTGTCCCGTTTTGTGGCAGCTCAGCGAGGACCACGACGCTAGGCTGGGACACCCTCCCAAAGTCCAGCCGAGAAAAGGACGAATCATAAATAGCCGGTGTTTTGGAGAAGCCAGCCGGAAAGAGACTTCCAAAGCATGGCCGGACGTGGTCCGCGGACTGACCACGTCCGCCCGAGCCACGAAGGAGCCACGGAAGGGCGCCTAGTCCATCTTCAGGTTGACGTAGATGTAACGGATGAACTTCAGCGACGCGAAGAAGGAGATGGTGCCCAGCATGAGGAAGAAGACGTAGCCGGTCAGCAGCGAGTAGCCGAAAAACTCCACCGTCTGCACCGTGCCGGACATGTTGGAGCGGCGGGTGTAGTAGAAGACCGAGTAGAGGAAGATGAAGAGGCCGGTGGAGCCGGCGCTGAGGATGGAGCGCCACCACCAGCGGTAGTCCTCGCCCGACAGCTGGAAGTAGGTGAGGGCGATGGAGATGCAGGCCCCGACGCTCAGCAGGATGGCGAAGACGAAGAAGAGGATGCCGTACAGGGTGTACTGCTCCCGGCCCCAGACGGTGGCGAAGATGTAGTAGAGCTCCACCGAAATGGCACTGCGGAGGAAAGAGGGGAGTTGGCGAGAGTCAGGCATGGATCCTGGTAGCCTGAGCCTGGAAGGCATCGTCCTTCTGCATGTCCCAAAGGGTGTCTCTCAAGCGTGGCGGCTTGGAAGGTGGGTGGACTTCAACTCCCAGAATTCCCCAGCCAGGCTTCACAATTCCCCATGGCATTCCAACTTCGGAATCCCACTGGGACAGCCTTCCTTCCTTCCATCCTTCCTTCCTTCCTCCTTCCTTTCTCCCTCCCTCCTTTCCCTCTCCCTCCCTTTTTCCTTCTTTCCTCCCTCCCTCCCTCCCTCCTTTCCTTCTCCTTCTCCTTCCTTCCTTTTTCCTTTCCTCTTTCCTTCTCCCTTTTTCCTTCCTTTCCTTCTCCCTCCCCTTCCTCTCTCCCTCCCTCCCTTTCCTTCCTTCCTCCTTTCCTTTCCTTTTCTCTCCTTCCTTTTTCCTTTCCTCTTTCCTTTCCTTCTCCCTCTCCTTCCTTCCTTCTTTCCTTCTCCCTCCCCTTCCTCTCTCCCTCCCTCCCTTTCCTTCCTTCTTTCCTTTTCTCTCCTTCCTTTTTCCTTTCCTCTTTCCTTTCCTTCTCCCCTTCCTTCCTTCCCTCCCTCCTTCCTTTTTTCCTTTCTTCCTTTCTCCCTCCCTCCTTTCCTTCTCCCTCCCCTTTCTTCCTTTCCCCTTCTTCCCTTTTCCCTCCTTTCCTTTCTTTTCCTTTCCTTCTTTTCTCCTTCCCCTTCCTTCTTTCCTTCTCCCCTTCCTTCCTCCCTCCCCCTTCTTTCCCTATCCTTCCTTCCTTCAACTGTAACTCTGGATGGGGAATTCTGGGAGTTGAAGTCCACCCACTTTCAAGCCGTCATAGTTGAGAAACACGGCTCCAGAATGAGGGGGGGGGGTCCCTCCTTCGTATGCAGACTACCAGCAGGGGGAATTGACCCCCCCTTTTTCCATCACCAGGAACCAGGGAGGGGGGAGGGGGAAGCCAAGGCAGCGGAGCACAGCGATACAGGTAGTCCTCAACTTATAACCCTCCGTTTAGCGCCCGCCGGAAGTTACAACGGCACGGAAAGGGGCGACTTGCACCCGGTCCTCGCACGTACAACCGTTGCAGCAGCACCCACCCGGTCAAAATTCGGGAGCTTGGCGACCGGTGACGCATTTTACGACGCTTGCCGTGTCCCAGGGTCACGCGGTCGCCATTCGCGGCCTTCCGACCGGGGAAAGCCGGGCTGGAAGCGATTCGCTTTAAAAAAACCGCGGCCCGAAAAGCCGTAAAATCAGGCAGGACCCGCCTTAAGGACCGCCTTGCTCAGCGACGGAAATTCCGCTCCCGCTCGTGGCCGTTAAGTCGAGGACCCCCTGCTTCTCACCTGAAGGGCAGAAAGCCTCCGATGGTCATGTGCACCAGGGTGGACTTGTACCAGGGCTGGGACGGGATCTCCCGGGCGATGTTCTTGGTGCGGCAGGGGGCGTCGAAGGGCGTGGCCCGATTCTTGCCAAAGATGCCGCCTATGACCGTCAGCGGGAAGCCCACCAGCAGCCAGACGGTCAGCAGCAGGAAGATGGTGGAGACCGGCAGGGCCTGGGTGGAGCCGTTGGCCCAGTGGACGGAGTTCACCACGCTCCAGGTCAGGAAGAAGGGAGCTGCTCAGAGAAGGAAAAGGAGAGAGAAAAACAGGTGTTATTTGTCTGCCTGCCTGCCTGCCTGCCTGCCTATCTATCTATTCCTCCCCGTCTCTCTGACTCTGTTTGTGTCTTTCTCTATAAATATCTATATCTGTCTGTCTGTCTATCTATCATCTATCTTCTATATCTGTCTGTCTGTATATCTATCATCTATCATCATCATCTACTATATCATCTATCATCCATCATCTATCTTCTATATCTACCTACCTATCTATCATCTATCATTTATCTGTATCTGTCTATCTATCTGCTATCTGCTATGTCTATCTATCTATTTTCTATCTTCTATATCTATCTATCTATTCATCCCTCTCTATCTATCCATCCATTTATATCTAGCTATCTATCCATCCATTTATATCTCTCTATATCTATATCTATCTATATCTCTCTATCCATCCATTATCTATCTATCTATCTATCTATCTATCTATCTATCTATCTATCTATCTATCTATCTATCTATCTATCTATCTATCTATCTATCTATCTCTATCCATTCATCCATTATCTATCTTATCTATCTGTCTATCCCATCTATCCTATCTATCCATTATCTATATTATATCTATCTATCTGTCTGTCCGTCCGTCCATCCATCCATCCATCATCTCTCTCTCTCTCTCTCTCTCTCTCTCTCTCTCCTACCTACCTACCTACCTACCTACCATCTATCTGGCTGAGGAATTCTGGGAGTTGAAGTCCACAAGTCATCAAAGGGCCAAGTTTGAAGACCCCTCCTTGTGGACTTCAACTCCCAGAATTCCCCAGCCAGCCTCCTTTAAGATGGGTGGACTTCAACTCCCAGAATTCCTTGCCAAGGCTGAGAATCACCACTCGAGAGTTTTCACCGCAGAAGAGAACCCTCAAAATTTGCCACTAGGACAGGGATGGGGAACGACGGCCCCTTTACGACTTGTGGACTTCAACTCCCAGAATTCCTCAGCCAGCATGGCTGGCTCAAGAATTCTGGGAGTTGAAGTCCACAACTCATAAAGGGGCCATCGTTCCCCAAACCTCTGCACTGGGAAAAAGTCCTCCAAATAAAATGTGCCATAAAGACTGCTGAAGAAGGGCTAGAGCAGTGGTTCTCAACCTTTTTAATGCCGCGACCCCAACCGGTTGTAAGTCGAGGACTAAACCGGTCGTAAGTCGAGGACTAAACCGGTCGTAAGTCGAGGACTACCCAACCGGTCGTAAGTCGAGGACTTTCCCTGCCCATGGTTCTGCCCCCTGCGCCGGCCGAGGCGTAGCTGGCAAGCGGCAGAGACGGAGCAGGCCGACCACCAGCTGGCCCAGCCCAAGGGAGGTAAGGCACCCGCCGGAAAAGGGGAAAAAAAATGGCGGACAAAAAAAATGGACAAAAAAAATGGCAGACAGCCTTGCTTGGCGACCCCCATGAAATGGTCGATCGACCCCAAATGGGGTCCCGACCCACAGGTTGAGAACCACTGGGCTAGAGCGTCCCTATCTTTTGCTAGAGAAAAAGGACCATCAGCGGATCGCCAGCCCGAAGGAACTGGTGGACGACCACCTCCGAGCGCCAGAGGAGATGGAACCTCACCGGAGAAAAGGCTGGTGGTCAGCAGTATATTCCAGACCCACCGCTCGCCCCCGATCTGGCGATAAAAGCTGCTGGACACGTAGCCAGAGATGCAGCAGGTCAAGGCATAGAGGAGGATGGCGGCCGAGTTGATGGCCCCGTGTCGGTGGACGTTGAACATGCCCAGCAGAGCCATCACGATGATGCCGGTGCCCAAGGCCAGGAACTGGCTGCCCACGCCCAACACGGCGCAGAGGAGGCTGCGGTACGGTGGGAACCGGAAGACGTCCGTGTGGATGATCTTCCACCCGTTGTCCCCTTGATCAAAGTCATCTCCTGAGGAGGACGAAGAGGCCTCCTCATCCAGGTTGTAGCGGGCCAGGTCATTCTTGAGGACCCGCATGAGGATGACCACCACAAAGCCCACCAGCAGGAACACCAGTACCATGGAGTTGATGATGGAGAGCCAGTGGATCTCCAGGGTGTGAGGGAAGAAGCCGTCGTCCCCGTTGTGGCCTCCTCGGCGTTCCCCTGGACGTTCCGCGCTGGTCTCCGACCAATGGACGCTGTAGGTGTAGGTGACGGGCAGCACACCCTGGATGTCGTCCAAGCTGGTGGGCTTCACGTTGCGAATGCTGACGTTGGCGTAGACGATACGATCGCCGTTCCACTCCAGGTAGAAGTCCAAGTGGGTCCAGAGGCCAATCTTGTGGGTGTGGGGCAGGAAGCCGCTCTCCTCCATGTAGCCCACGAAGCCACGGAGCGGCAAGTCGTCCACCACAAATTCAAAGTAGTAGAGTTCCTCGATGGCCTGCCGGAGGCGCTCTACCTGAGGAAGGAAGGAAGGAAGGAGAAGTCAACCCGAAACTGAAAGAAAATATGGGTCCCACTAGACCTCAGAGGTTGAAGCCACCAACTCTTTTTATTCTAGGGAGATTCTCAGTCTTCTAGGTCAGGGCTCTTCAAACCTGGCCCTCTGAGGACTTGTGGACTTCAACTCCCAGAATTCATCAGTCAGCGGGCTTCAAGATGAATGGACTACCTCAGCCAGCATGTTTTAAGACAGGGGTCTTCAAACCTGGCCCTTTGATGACTTGTGGACTTCAACTCCCAGAATTCCTCAGCCAGCGGGCTTCAAGATGGATGGACTTCAACTCCCAGAATCCCTCAGCCAGCATGTTTTAAGACAAGGGTCTTCAAACCTGGCCCTTTGATGACTTGTGGACTTCAACTCCCAGAATTCCTCAGCCAGCGTGCTGAGGAGTTGAAGTCCACAAGTCATCAAAGGGCCATAGTTCCCTCACGCTGGCTGAGGAATTCTGGGAGTTGAAGTCCACAAGTCATAAAAGGGTCATAGCTCCCTCACGCTGGCTGAGGAATTCTGGGAGTTCAAGTCCGCAAGTCATCAAAGGGCCATAGTTCCCTCAGGCTGGCTGAGGAATTCTGGGAGTTGAAGTCCACAAGTCATCAAAGGGCCAAGTTTGAAGACCCCTGTTCTAGGTCATGGCCGTCCCAAAGTTGCTTTTTCAGGAAGCAACTGGACTTCGTTGTTCGCTCGTTCGATGTTTCGCTTCTCGTCCCAGAAGCTTCTTCAGTTCTGACTGAATGAAATGGATGGAAGATTTATACTCCTTGCAGACAGCTGGTCATTTGCCTTCTTTTAGAGAGAGTCGTTGAGCCCACTCGGAGATTTATCTGTGTCCTCAGGGTGATCTGAGTGGTGCAAATGTGTGTGGAGATTGCTTGGCTGCAGGATGAGGACACAGGACAGAAAACATCCCACAGCCGAGAAGGCTCGATGCCCATTTGCACCCCTCAGGTGACCCTGAGGACACAGGTAAACCTCCAAGTGGCCTCAACAACTCTCTAAAAGAATGCAAATGACCAGCTGTCTGCAAGGAGTATAAATCCTTCCATTCCCCACCATCCAGTCAGAGCTGGTTAATTGTCCTCACTGTCAGGAAGTTTCTCCTTAGTTCTAGGTTGCTTCTCTCCTTGATTAGTTTCCATCCGTTGCTTCTTGTCCTGCCTTCAGGTGCTTTGGAGAATAAGTGGACCCCCTCTTTTGTGTGGCAGCCCCCCAAATACTGGAATACTGCTATCATGTCCCCCCCCCCCCTTTTTTCTCTAGACTGGCCATTCCCAAATCCTGCAGCTGTTCTTCTTATGTTTTAGCCTCCAGGCCTTTAATCATCTTAATTGCACTTTTTTTCCCCCAAAGTCTCAAAATCTTTTTTTTGTAATGTGGTGACCCACAACTGGATGTAGGATTCCAGGGGTGGCCTTCCTAAGATCACCTTCAGACCAACCGTTCAAATAAAAAAGACCCCAATCAAGAAACTGCCACAGAGCCATCAGTAAACAACCCAACCAAAGAATCCCTAAGACACTGGAAGATAAACTTACTAGCACTGATGATGTTCCCTAGTTGGGTCATGAAACGTCTGCAAGAAAACCACCCAGCTCAGAGAGCACCAAGGACCCCACAGTCATTCCTCCTCCTCCTCCTTCTCCTCCCACACTCCCTTCTAACACTGATGATGTTCCCTAGTCGGGTCATGAAACGTCTGCAAGAAAACAACCAAGCTCAGAGAGCACCAAGGACCCCACAGCCCTCCTCCTCCCCCTACCTCCTCCTCCTCCTCCTCCTCCTCCTCCATAAACCNCAGGGAGCACCCAGGAGCCCTCCTACCGCAATCCAGTTTGGGTCCTCCATTTTTGTTTGTTTTTTGGCGGGGGGGGGGGATTTACCTCATCCGGGGAGAGCTTCTTCTTGCAAAGGATCTTGCTCTCCACGTTCTGCCGGAAGTGGATCTCGTACATGGACTCGGCCATGCGGTCCCCATCCAGCACTTCCCCCAAGGACAGGCTCTTGTGGCGGATGGGAGTCGGGGAGCAGACGGGCAGCTGGTAGTAATGGTAGGTCTCCTGAGGGTTGTGGTAAGGTCCCACTTTGTTCACGTAGAGCATCACCTTGGATCCCTGCTGGTAGTGAGTCTCCGAAGAGGCCACGGCCAGGAAAGGAAGGAAGGAGGCGAGGAGGGCAAGGAGAGGAGAGGGCGCCATGTTGGGGAGGATTCGGGGTCAAGGGTGGGGGCAAGAGCTGGGGTGGAGAAAATAAAAAAAAAGAGAGTTTCATTTTCTCTAGTAAGCAACTTGCAATAGCATGTCTCAAGCTTGGTGGATTTCAACTCCCAGAAGGACTAGGGCAGGGGTAGGCAACCTTGGCTCTTTTATGACTGGTGGACTTCAACTCCCAGAATTCCTGAGCCAGCATGGGGGAACTATGGGTCCCTTGATGACTCGTGGATTTCAACTCCCAGAATTCCTCAGCCAGCGTGAGGGAAACTTTGGCCCTTTTATGGCTTGTGGACTTCAACTCCCAGAATTCCTGAGCCAGCGTGAGGGAACTATGAGCCTTTGATGACTTGTGGACTTCAACTCCCAGAATTCCTGAGCCAGAATGGGGGAGCTATGGGTCCCTTGATGACTTGTGGACTTCAACTCCCAGAATTCCTGAGCCAGCATGGGGAAACTATGGTTCCCTGCCTTGATGACTTGTGGACTTCAACTCGCAGAATTCCTGGGCCAGTATGGCTCAGCTTGGAAACCTCTCCCTTTCCCCTCAGTGTGGCTGGCTCAGGAATTCTGGGAGTTGAAGTCCACGAGTCATAAAAGAGCCCAGGTTGCCTACCCCTGGTCTAGGGGAGACATGATAACAGTATCCCAATATTTGAGGGGCTCCTACAAAGATGGGGGGGTCGAACTATTTTAAAAGACAAAACAAGAAACAATGAATGGAAACTCATCAAGAAGAGAAGCAACCTGGAACTAAGGAGAAATTTCCTAACGGCGAGAGCAATCAACCAGTGGAACAGCTGGCCTTCAGAAATTGTGGGTGCTCCATCGCTGGAGGTTTTCAAGAAGAGACTGGAGAGCCATTTGTCTGAAATGGTATAGGGTCTACTGCATGAGCAGGGGGCTGGACTAGAAGACCTCCAAGGTCCCTTCCAACTCTATTATTCTATGAAATTCTACCTACCTACCTAATACCTACCTACCTTATCTGTCTGTCTGTCTATCCATCCATCCATCATCTATCACAGGGGTGTCAAACTGCTGGCCTGTGGGCTGGATGCGTCATGGTGAAACCATGCCCACCCCATTGCCGGCAATGGAAAAAAAGTTGTGATATGTCATGACACGTCACGTGACATTGCGAGTTTGACACCCCTGATCTATCCTCTATCTCTTCATATTTATCTATCTATCATTATCTATCTATCATATCTAGCTATCATCTATCTATCCATCATATCTATCTATCTAATCTATCTATCCATCCATCCATCCATCCATCCATCCATCCATCCATCCATCTATCCATATCTATCTATCTATCTATCTATCTATCTATCTATCTATCTATCTATCTATCTATCCATCCATCCATCCATCCATTATCTGTCTGTCTGTCTGTCTGTCTGTCTGTCTGTCTGTCTGTCTGTCTGTCTATCTATCTATCTATCTATCTATCTATCTATCTATCCATCCATCCATCCATCCCTGTCTGTCTGTCTGTCTGTCTGTCTGTCTGTCTGTCTGTCTGTCTGTCTGTCTGTCTGTCTGTCTGTCTATCTATCCAGACAGACAGACAGACAGACAGACAGCTATAATGTCCTGCCATACTCTTTGAGATTTTCCAATGGCACAATCAAGCTCCACATATATAGACAGGAAGTTCCTGGCTAATCCACCAGACATCAAGATAGTAGATAAGGACCAGAAGACAGTGGTGGCGGTGGTGGTGATAGAAGTAACAATACCAAATGAAAATAACATCAGGAAGAAAGAATATGAGAGGCTGGACAAGCACCAGGGTCTGAAGGAGAAGCGGGAGAGGATGTAGGAAGTCAAGGCCAAAGTTGTCCCACTGGTAGTAAGAGCACTCGGGGCTGTGATTTCAAAAGATCCCCAAAACAGCATCGGCTCACTGTCCAGAGGAGCACAAGGCTAGGAACCCAGATCCTGTGCAGAACTCCCAGATCTCTGGTAAAGGATTCGAAACACCCATAAGGGTGAGAGGGATTTTTTTTTTATATCTACTATATATATTATTACTTACATATTTCTTAGATGTACATGTATATTATATTATGAGAGAGATGATGGATGGATGGATGGATGGATGGATGGATGGATGGATGGATGGATAGATATAGATAGATAGATAGATAGATAGATAGATAGATAGATAGATAGATAGATAGATAGATAGATAGATAGATAGATAGATAGATAGATAGATAGATAGATAGATAGATAGATAGATAGATAGATAGATGATAGAGACAGGCTGGCAGGCAGACAGACGGATGGATAGATAGATGGATAGCTGGATGGATGGGTAAGTAGGTAGCTAGATGATAGGCAGAGATGTAAAGATGATAAGTAGCTAGGTAGATAGATATGTAGAAATGATAGGTAAGTAGGTAGGTAGACAGGTAGATAGTAGGTAGATGATGGATGGATAGATGGATGGATGGATAGATAGATGATAGATAGATAGATAGATAGATAGATAGATAGATGATAGATAGATAGATAGATAGATAGATAGAGCATAGATGGATGGATGATGGATGGTTGAATCAGTAGGTAGATAAATAGGTAACAGATGATATAGATCGGTAGACAGGTAGAGATCAAATTAGACAATAGACAGCCAGCCAGCCAGCCAGATATCTGTATATCTAGGCCAGCCTCCTGCCTACCCCCCTCCCAAGAAGGATTTCACTCTTAATCTGCTACCATATGGTGGCTTGGTTGGCTTCCTGGTTAGCACGTTGGGCCAAAGCAGGCCAGCTTCTATGTGTTTAGCCAAGGATGGCTGGGCCAGCTGAAGTTTAAGGCTCAAGCAGAATGTGTGAACCCTTGGGGGGGGGGGAAGGGAAACATGGACTCCAGAAAGGAGTTGCTGATCCCATTCAGGATGGTGGCCTTGGGCATCTCTCCTTCGGCCAGCCCAATCAGGGATCCTGGCTTCAGAGAGACCCCCCCCACTTCCTTGATGGGGGGCAGGGGGTGTCTTCCCCAAGCCATGCAGGTAAGTCCAGTTTGGGGGTCTCCTTTGGCCCTGGGGGAGGGGGGGTGGATGGACCTGCTGCCCTAACCTGCTGCCCTAACATGCCTGTTTCCCCCCACCCAAAAAAAAAACCCAAGTGGGAGAGCATGAGCTTCGCCCCCTCCCTTTTTATCTGCACAACAGCCCTGAAAGGTAGGCCAGGCCAGGCCAGGCTCAAGGCTGGCAGCTTTCCTTCCCCCAGGCTGGTGGGCAGGAGACCAGCCCAAGGAAGGGAAAAGGGGGTGGGGGGGAGGGTCAATGCACCAAGCCCCCCTCCCCAAAAGGGCCCCCTCCCCCAAAGAGACCCCCTCCCCTCTCACCTGCACCTCTAGGGCTGCCCCGCGCACTGCCTGAATCCTCCTGCAGCCTCTTTCGCCCCTTAATAAAAAAAAAAAGACAGGCGAAAGTTCACCAAGTGTAGCCACCCAAACTGCGGTGGGGGCAGTTGAAAGAGGGGGGGGGCAAGGCTTCAGTCTGAGCGGACGCCCGTAGCGTTGCCTGATTTTTAAGCCGGCTCCCGTCGGGCTTGAAGACGTCTTTTTTCCCCAGAAGGGCCTCGCTCGGCTTCTCCGCACCTCCGCTGCGCGCTTCTCCCGAGCGAAGGCTGGCTGAATTGAAGAGCCGCGGGCTTCCAAGCGCTTGGGGTCCTTCAGGCGATCTCCTAAGGCAGCCTCAGCCACGTCTGTCGATCGCTTCCGCCCTCAGCGGTTCGCGGGGGCCTCGCTGCCCACACCAGGACGCAGTTCCGGGTTGGGGAGCGGGAAGGGGGCGGCCTCCCTAAGGGAAGGGCGGGGACGTCAGCGCGCCGTCACGCTCTGGCCCCGCCCGCCTCTTAAAGAGACAGGCCCACGTTGGAATGTGGGGGTGGAAAAAAGAGGCGTGAAGCAGCGCAGGCAGAAATTCAGCAGGGGAAGCTCAATCCCTGTAAAAAAAGAAAGCATCTCAAAAAAATTTGCACTTTTTATTTCCTTCCAGAACTGTCTTTTAATTGTTTAATCTCCTAACGGCTTTCCAATCCAGAATTAAAATGATCCTCATCATAAATATATCGAATAAATGATTAAATCATACACAAACAGTGCCTCTTGCATCAAGGCATGTACGTTAATAAATCGCACCTGTTAAACGAATAATTGAATAATCAACAGTGCACATCTAAATGTAAACAAAGCGCGCAAATTACATAATTAAGAAACGAGCACGCGTGAGAAATAAATAATAAGCGGGCCGCAAATAAGCAAATATCCATAAATATGAAATAAATAATAAACAATCCTACGTATTAAATGATAAAACCATCAATAAATAATCCCTGCTAAATAAACCATAAGCATACAATGCACAGGAAAGAAATACGGAAAAACTGATTAAAATTTAAATATTGTGAGATTTAGTAGGACAAACCGATAATGCCAAGTGCCTGAATTTTGATCCCGTCACCACGGGGAGGCTGCAGGGGTCGTAAGTGTGAAAAACGGTCGTAAGTCACTTTTTTCAGTGCCATCGTAACGGCTGTAAGTCAGGGATGACCTGTATATGTAATAATAGTAGTAGACACCTTGGGTGCAATCCTAAAACATCTGGAACACCACCCAGAGATGGGAAGGCCTGGAAAAAAAACCAGAAAAAAATGGGGAGGGAAAAACACAAAGGTAGATGTTTACAAGGGATTCACAACTTTCTAATCAAGGAGAGAAGCAACCTAGAACTAAGAAGAAATTTCCTG